GGGAGAGTGGCCCAGACCACAGTTGGAACCAAGGGGAAGGGGACAGAGCACAGAGGGGCCGGTGCTGGGGGTGGGAAACCCCCTGGTCACCCAGGCCCTGGAGCAGAGTGAGGCCCCCCAGCCAGGGTGCCAGGAGGGGAAGAGTGAGAGGTGGTGGAGGGAGGCCAAGGGGGCAGGACACAGATTCTCACCAAACACCCCAAACATGGCCTCAGCAGGGACTCTGGCTCTGCTGCCAGATGGGGGTGGACCGGGAGCCCATGGCTCAGGGCCAGGCATCCAGGTGTTGGGATTTTTGTTTTTGTTTTAGTTTTTGTTGTTGTTGTTGTTGTTGTTGTTGTTGTTTTTGTCACTGGGGATTGAACTCAGGGGTACTGGACCACTGAGCCACATCCCCAGCCCTAGTTTGTATTTTATTTAGAGACAGGGTCTCCTGAGTTGCTTAGCTCCTCGATTTTGCTGAGGCTGGCTTTGAACTCTCGATCCTCCTGCCTCAGCCTCCGGAGCCACTGGGATTACAGGCGTGCACCACCAGGGCTGGCCAGATTTTTTTGGTTTTGCCCCCTGCCTGGACCGAACCACCTCCAACCCTGTCCTTGTTGCTGGTGGGATCACCCATCCAACCCTAGTGGACTCGTGCCACCTGGTCAGGCGGAAGCAGGGACAAAGGGCCGCAGCCCACCACCGGGATCACATTCTTTGTTCCTTCCAGCTCCCTGGAGGCTGGAGTCAGGCCCAAGCCTCGGTTCCAGAGGAGCATCAGCTGGGGTCACGGGGGCCTGGCTGGGCGACAGCACACACCCCGGCCCCCGCGCTGCCCACTCACTGCGCCGCTTCTTCTCCAGGCGCCGCAGCCGCTTCTCCTCGCGCCGCCGCGCCTCCTCCGCCTCCTGGTGCTGCCGGCACTTGTGGAAGTTCTCCACCACCACGCCCACGAACATGTTGAGCACGAAGAAGCTGACGATGAGCAGGAAGGAGATGAAGTACAGCAGCATCCAGGGGTTGTGGTTGGTCACAGGCTGCGGGGAGCAGAGCCAGGGCTGAGAGCTGGACGCGCACCGCGGGGCCACGAGGGCACCCGACTCGCCCGGCCTGGGCGTAAAGGCGGACTGAAGCAGCGGCCTCCAGGGCAGCTGTGAGGTTTGAGCGAGGCCGTGGGCAGAGCGTGCGCACCCCTGGCCCAGGAAGGGACTCAGCACAGAGAACCCTTCTCCTTCCCGAATCTAAATGCTGGCTCCTGGGCACATCCACCTGCCCTCTCACTCACCTAGCCATCCTCTCACCTCGGCAAGCATCCAGCCTCCACCCACCCACTTATCCATCTATCCATTCACCCCTTCATTCATCCACTTATCTATCTATCACCCACCCCTTCACTTATCCATCCATCCATCCACCCATCCATCTGTCCATCCATCTGTCCATCCACCTGTCCATCCACTTATCTGTCCGTCCATCTATCCATCTGTCCATACACCCACCCACTTATCCATCCACATACCCATCAACTGATCCATCATCCATCCACCCACCCTTCAATTATCCAACTATCCAACTATCCATTCATCCACTTATCCATCCACCCATCCATCCATCCACTCACCCATCTGTCCATCCACTTATCTGTACGTCCATCCATGCACTTGTCCATCCACCCACTTATCCAACTATCCAGTTATCCACCCCTCCCCACCCCCACTCCACTCACACGTACACATATAAACACACCTATACACACACTTATCCATCCAACCAGAAACAAGGCAGCCAGCAGAGGGGCGGGCACTGCCTGGCAGGCTGCACGTGCCCATGTACTGCTGGGGTGGGGGACAGAGCACACAGCAGGTGCAGGAAGGTGCCTCCAAATGTCCTGCCCCCAACCACCTCTAGCTCCGGAGTCTAACCAGGTAGGACCATAAGAACAAGAGCCAGAGACCACTCACAGGCCTGGAATCCCTGCAGCCCGACTCCTCCAGAGCGGGCCTTCCTGACCTGGACGCTGGCCCTGCTCCTTCCAGCCAGCCCCTCAAGCTCCCTAGGTCTGGACACAGCCAACCCTGGTCAGCGTGTGTCTTGCCTGAAGTCACTGCCTAGATGCAGAGGGGACCTCTGGAGCCAAGGCCCAGGCTTTCTCTCAGGCCCAGACTTGTCCCCAACCCTTTCCACCCTGTCCCTATCCCCAGGCCCACCCTCACCCCACAGCCCAGGAGGGGCCCCCGGCATCCTGAGCAGCAGGACACGCCACTCTCCATGGCTCCCTGTGCCCTCAGAACGAACTCCTGCCCCTTGCCATGGCCAGGGGGTCTCATGGACACTCGGCTCTCCTGGCCTCCTGCCTCCCGTGACCCTTGCCTGGGACCTGCTCTCCCTTGGCCGGCTGGTCAGCCCTCCCTTCTACACTTGGCCTCCTCCCCCAGAGTCTGTGCCCCTCTGGGCAGGAGCCAGCTGGGATTCCTCTGTGCAGAGCAGGGGGTTCTAGAAGGGAAGGGAACCATGGCGTACACTAACACTGGGTGAGGATCAGCCAGGACCTGAGGGTGTGCTGGGGCTGACCACGGGGAGACACCAGAGCCACTGGCACAGGCTGCAGACCACCGGACCCCAACAGCGACCTGCCCCTCCCTGCTGTTCAGCCCCACCCTGCCCGACGATGCCCACCTGCTGGTCCACAGCCACGGCATCTAGTCCGTTGTACATGATGTTCACCCAGCCGTCCTTGGAGGCCAGGACAAAGAGGGACATCAGAGCCTGGAAGACAGGGGAGGGAGGGCACGAGGTGAGGGACAAGGGGGCTCAGGCCACACCTGCATCTCCAGCTCTCCATTGTTATGCCTTTGGGAGGCAGAGGGACAAAGAGGGCTTCCCTGTGTGGCAGAGCTATGCTCTCAATCCACAAACCTTCCTGAGGACCTACTGTGTGCTCGCCATGTGCCCTATAGCTACTGTTGCAGGAAGAAGAGCCCAGGGTCTGAGTTCCAGCTGCAGTCCTGAGATTAACCAGTCGTGTGATCACAAACACGAAAACTTGTGTGCTCCTGTTCCTCACCCACCAATGGGAACCAGGAAATGCCGCTGGGAGGAGCCACTGAGATTTTAAATGAGAAGCTTCCTGACAACTCCGGGGTGCTCCCTAGGCCGCCCTCGGCAGCTTGAAGTCAGGATCTCCTGAGAGAAGCCAGGATCCCTGGCTTACCGCCCAGCCTTTGCCACTCACTGGCTGGGAGACCTGGGGCAAATTCCTTGAGGTCTCTGGGTCTGTAAAATATGAAAAGGGGATGGTCCACGGGAGACAGCCAGCCAGCCAGGGCTCCTACATGGATGTCAGGCCAGAGTCCTCGTGTCCTTCAACTGGGTCACAGGCTGGTCCCAAAGCACCCAGCACACAACCTTGCACACAGCAGGTGCTTCACCAAGGTTTTCTGCACTGAACTTGAGTGAGGGCTCCTGTGCTGTCTTTGGAGAGCAGAGCACAAGGGGGGTTGGGGCCACAAGGGCCCCACATAACCAGGGCTGCCCAGAAGTCACGGTCTGCCCACGAAGCCCCCCTCCCCAGGGCAGAGAGTCACACCTTCCCTTGTGCTCCAGCCACCCTGGGCTACGAAGCCAGGCCCTGCCCGCCCACCCTTCCCACCCTCTAGGGCACAGCTCCCATCCTCTTCCCCCGCCAGGGGGGGAATGGTGCTGAGGGTGCCCCCAAAGTGCTCAGGCCCAGTGGCAGGCAGGGCAGGGGACAGCGAGGAAGTACAGGAGGCCCCTAGATGCCAAGGCCCCCACTGCTGTGCCCACTGAGAGTTGAGGATCTGGAACTTCCTGAGGGCACACAGGAAGTGGCCCCCCAGGGAGTCAACCAAGACTCAGCACTGAGCACACCCACTCGGGGCTCCAGGGAGTCAGCCTGGGGTCAAGTGCAACCAGATTGGAAAGACCAGGTCCTTCCAAAGGTGGGGACCTGGGACCAGGAGCAAGCTCACAAAAGCCCCCCTTCCTTCAGCGCCTTCCCTGTTCACCAAACACTGAGTTGTTAAACACTCCATGGCTGCTCCTGGAGAAGGGGTGGGGCGAGCTGACAGCAGTCAGTTTCCGACATGGTCTCCTGGCCACCACAGCCCCTCAAGGTCCACTGGCTCCCCCCATAGCTGGTGTGGGGGTGCCCCGTCCTGTGAATGCGAGCTTCGGGCGACCCAGCCAGGGGCTGCCAGAGAGGGCGTGGGAGCGGGCGGCCCAGATCTTGCTCCATCCTTGGGAGCCCCAGGGCCAGGCACTCTCTGCCTGGGCCACCTGGACCTAGCTCCTGAAGGACCCTCAGAGGGACCGGTTGTGGGGAGGGGGCCCTTTGGAGGCAGCTAGCTGAGGCCTCTCCTCTGGGCCACTGCCCCTGGGTCAGGCCTGGCAGGCCTCCAGGAGAAGAGACCAGGGGCACAGGGGCTCCGGGTGAGGCCTGCCAGCCTGGATGGGGAACAGACAGGGTGGGTGCTGGCGAGGGCACCCACCCTGGATCGAGGAGCCTGCCACCCTGATGGCTCCCACAGCTGCTGCCCCTTTCTACAGATGAGAAACCAAGTTTCAAAGAGGTCACGCCCCACTCCACAGCAGAGCGGAACGCACAACCAGGTGTGGCTGACTCTACAACTCGGGTCAGGACTCCCTGGGTGGGGGCAGAGGCCAAAGTTCAGTGAAGAACTTATTAGGGCCAGGCACGGGGTGGGGGGGGGGGGCGAGGCCCTGCATTCGGAATCTCAGCCGCAGACTACCTGTGAGGGCCAGTTCCTCTACCCGTTTTGCAGAGTAGGAGACCTGGGCTTGGAGAGAAGTCACAGTCCTGGCAGGGCAGGACTGGAGCCAGCTCTGACATCTCAGGGCCATAGGCATTGAAGAGCTGTCACCCCCAGGGGGGCAGGACAGATAAGGGGAGGGGTGGCCAGCACGCACCTGGCCCAGGTTATCGAAGTTGTACTTGTGATGGACCCAGCGGTAGTTGGCAGCCACGCAGTCAGAGCGGTTGGTGATGTTGCGGGTGTCCACGCCCAGGCAGTGGTAGAACTTGCCCTTGAAGAGCTGGGGATAAGGAGGGCAAGATCAGGGCTCCCAGGAGGAGGGGGCATTGCAAATCACAAGAAGAACCCAGGCCTCAGACTGCATCCCCTGAGCCCCAAGGTCAGCCAGCACAGGTGGGGCCTCTGCCCTGGCTGTGCCCTTACACAGCCTCAGAACCCTCCCACCCCCCTCACCTGCACCCCCAAGATGCCAAAGATGATGAAGAAGGCACAGCAGATCAGGACGATGTTCCCAATGGGTTTGAGGGAGGAGATGAGCGTCTCCACCACCAGCTTCAGGCCAGGGGCCCGGCTGATGACCCTGCAGGCAAGGAGGGCGGGGAACTGTGAGCCCATGGCTGTGGGGAGGCAGCCAGTGCTGAGTCCCCTAGTGAGTTCCAGGACTGAGCCCACTAGGGCATGAGGAAGACAGCATGGAACCAAGAGAAAGCAGGTGCCCAGATGTCAGCAGACCAGGGGGTGAGCCAGGCCACAGCCCAGACCCACAGGGAGAAGGGCACCTGCCCTCCCGTCACTGTGCCTAGTCCCAGAGATAGCAGAGAGCCACCCAGAGACAGAAACAGGTAACCAGGCGGTGGGGGTGGGGGGTGGTACTGAGGAAGGATGATAGGAGTTCCAAGCCAGCCTCACATCAACTAAGCCAGGCCTGTCTCTAAATAAATACATATACATTTTATGTCTATATTAAATGTGTATTAAATATTCACATAAATGCATACATGTGTGTGTGTGTAGAGCGGGGGCTGGGGATGTGGCTTGATGTTTCAGTGCCCCTGGGTTCAATCCCTAGTACCAAGAAACGAAAGAAAGACGCGTGCTATCGGAGGACAAAATGAGTCACATGTCACAAGGGCCTTAGGCATTGAAGAGCTGTCACCGGGGAAGGGTCCTCACCGCAGAGGGCGTAGGGTGCGCAGGAGCCGCAGGACCCGGAGGACCCCCAAGATCTTGGCTCCCCCAGCCGAGGCTAAGGACACCACGATGTCGATGATGGACACGAAGAC